TGACTAGGTGTTCCCAGTGTACGGAGGATATTTGTATAACATTTCCAATTCAACACAATGTACTGGTACTACCACGTCCTAAGACCACTGTGATACAGAGCAAAAGAAACAGTATAGAAACGAACCAAGATCACTTATCTGACTAGACTCTATATAGAGTTCTATACACACGTCAACTCTCAGGTGGGAAATGAGCAACTGTCTCTACGTATCCTAGCGCGACATAAGTGGAATCGAGAACCAGAGATAGTGATATGGTAACAGGATCTCTCTGTATGCTGTATATCCACGGCTCGCTCTAAGATGCCGCTGATCGATGGAGCTCTAAAGGAAAGGCGATCCCGCGATCTAGACCAGACATTCGCAGTTCAAGAAGTGGGACCACTCCCAAGGGGAGATCTTTGGTCATATTAGGACTCATAATGCGAGCTGACTTTGAATTTTCCTGAGTCAGGAGCTCTGAACTCCGACTGCTCCATATATGATAGAGTTTGAAGGTTGAAGGTACCATATATTTCCGATCTGCCATGTGGGAAAGAGCAAGAGCAATTCAAGGTTTTGAGGCTTCTCCACTGCTCGCCAATAGCCGAGCGGTAATTTGGTTGGTTCTAATGGTTGGTTTTTCTTGGTTTTCTTGGTTTTCTTGGTTTTTGTTTTTGTTTTTCTGTTTTTTTTTTTTTAAATTTCTGGCTCGAAAGAAAAAGAAAGTTTGAAAGAAAGTTTAGGATCGGCCTGAGCCGCAACACAATTCGAGCTAGAACCAAGTTTCCACTCACTTGAATCCGTCGATCGCTCGTATCCCAGTTGCCATTAGAGGTCAGACCTCGTTTTTCCAAGTCTTTATACATTGTACTCCATACAAGGTATGCTACTTTGTTTCGGAAATGACTTCGCTTCGTAATCATTGGATAAAAACGCTATGATCTGAGATTTGCGCGTCCTCTGCCCCATTCCACAAAGCTTGTTTCCTATGCCTCTCTCCGGGAAGATCGGGCTAGTTTCAACGGAATGGGTCGAAGCGATGGGGTTGAGGATACAATATATAATGGAAAGAATACCGATCCACTTCTCTTTTGACTCCATCTCTTTTCTTTTTCCCGATCTAGACTGTGCAGGTCTTGACGGGGACCACATGGAACCAGAATCTCGTTGGCTAAGAGGTGAGGTTTCCAAGAAATAATCTCTGACAGGTTACATTGTGGATTCATGCCAAGGATATCCTTTTTCCTTCCTCAGTATATTCATCTATTATTCATTGTATACTTGGTACCATAGGATATTTAACCATGGAACGAAAATACAGTCTCCAGGTACCGGGATCTCAGTGGACCTTCGGGAACGGTCCATAGCGCACTCCGCAATGTCATACAAATGTATCATGACAATACAATACCCAGTGTACCCTGATGCTCCCGAAAGGCCCAAGCTCCTGAAAGTCAAAGCTTTGGTTTCCTCTGATATAACTATATTATTTGTAGATCATTTGATAGGTCCAGAAATAGCCGTAGTAATAGCAGGGATGTGCTCGAATTGCATACCCCTTTAGATACCCTAGTACGAAGTAGAAACTCACGTTCTCCACCCGTTAACGCCGGCAAGCTACACGGCGTCTACGGAGTTCAGTCTAGGAAATAACGTAATGTCTTAACTCCGATACGACATGGCCATGCTCTGTGTCGTCATCTAGTTCAGAAAGTCTAGTAATATTTTAGGCAAAGCTCCAATGCACCAGTACAGGGAATATCCATGATAAATTCTCTATACTTTTTTTTTTTAGTTAGTTCTCACATATAATCTCTTTGACCATTCACACAAAGTCTTCTGCGGGTCCAGCCACCTGATTCCCCTTGGATCGCCGTTGGAATCATCCCCACACCGACACTTGAAGCGCCCGGGATCTCGGAGAGCTTATGTACTTCGTATATTGAAATGAATCTGGGAAATCTTTTTAGCCGATCTCTAAGTGAAAAATAACAAAATAACTGCGTGTAGCTCCTTCCAAGTCTAGTTTTGTTTCCTTCCTATTTCTCTCTGCTCCGGTATTGCACTTGTCGCATCACGGAAATGAACTTAAATTATCAGTTTCGAAAATAGCTGCATGCAGCTTCGACGTCTCGTATCCCTGATGCCTATCTGTGTTTTATTGGCACATAACTTCCCCTGGACATTAATAAGGCCAAGAACACCAATGCAATTATAAGGGCTTGGCTTGGCTTGGGGGCCAGAAATGTCAACCTTGGTCGCTGAATGCACCTGATTCTTGAATCATTTCTTGATTGTTTTTTTCTGCTTGAATGTTTTATCGAGTTTGTTTCTAGCACTCCTTATCATATTCATGCATATACATGGGTCCAATCACCATCCCGCAAGAGCAATTTTTGTTTTGGTTTCATTCCCATCCCGACGCATTCCGATACATTAGCTAGCAAGTGGCTAGATTTCAAGTCTCAGGAAAGAATGTATAGTCCGACGCGCGCAAGGCAGTAGCTGCCCCCGTTTTGCCAATCTTGAAACTCTCTCAGGAGTACAGAAGTGGAGGCCGCGCAGGACTAATTGACTAGTGCCAATTGAGTAAATATCCATCCCCAGAAGTCTATGTTCGCCGAGGAAGTCATTATCTGTGGAGTACTCCGTACTCCGTACAGCATACTATATTGCATGGACTATATTGCATGGCGGCTCGAAAGTTTGCCCGTCGCAGACGCCACTTGAGTTGCCGGGTCGGAAATAGCAATATAATCAGGATCGGTCTAATTGAAATCTCCGGGTATCGGCGAAGTGAGCAAGAGATGGAAGCGAGATGAATAGAGAGTCGAAATATCTCAATGATTGGAGGTATATCAATCCGGTTTTTTCAAGACTAACGCACAAGGCTCAGTTTGCACGTAATTTGTGACGTGCATTAAACAGGCCCTATTATGAGGCTTTTCCACTTACATAGTGCGCAGGTACTGTGATATTGAAATCCCAGTCCGCTGGGAGAACGGCCGACAGCACCGACAGGCCGGGTCTTCCGAGGTGTCCAGTTATCCTCCGGTGTTTTCCTGAAAATAAATTGGTTGATCCTTCTGGAGACGGGATCTACCGGCCCTTTCACATTTCGTCCGCATTCACCAGGTTCCAACTCTCCACTCTTGACGGGTTTGGCAATCAACCCCCTGTATGGATCTGCGTCGAAAGTTAGCGGTGTCACTGGGCAGGCCTTGGCCGTAAGTCCGGAGTCTCCGCGTTATACTTTTTTTTGTAGGGAAAGACATCCCGAAAAGCATCAGCTGAAAAGTAGTTTCACAATTTCATGATTTCCATGTTAAAAGGATATAGTCTCCGCTTCATGTAGTTGGATAGTGCCCTCCTCAAAGGAAATAGGTACAGGTGTCAGTGAAATCGAAGTAAATCTACTGAGTAGGGTACGGAGTAATCAAGCCAGTAATAGGTCTGCATTGTACGGACTATTGATGGGAGTATGCCTGTGGCTTCTAATTTTCTTTTTTATTTCCTTTCATTTGATTTGAGCATGAGATATTTGAATTAAAACCAGGAATATTTCCCCTCTCATTGCTCAACTCTTACTGGCTAGACCGTATATTCTCTATAAAGGATCCCAACATGTACCTTGTACCTCTGAGCCAAACCCGTATACACAATTAAACAAACCTACACAACACTTTAGAAGGCGTAGTAGGTGTCTCACAAAGTTCTCGAGAGGCGGCAAACCCTTGATCAAAAGGGAGAGAAAAAAAATTTCATTTTGCCACAAGGCTCTTCTAGGGCCATGTACCCTGACCAAGTACTCCGTAACCCACACGGACTTGTGTTTGATTTGCTACTAGTGGCGATGTGTTTTAGCCAGAGTGCAACACTCCTGCTACCTTAGATTAACGGTTATGTACTCAATATGCAGAACAGAACCTAGTCTGTATTGGTGGACAAACCCTGGTAGAGATCCCTACCGGGATAATCCACTAGGAATTGTCTACTAGACATGGGCAAAAAACAAATTGCTGTTGCATCGGGAACTCGGGAAGAGAAGGCGAAAAAAAAAACCTAGAACCTTGCTCGAATATATTCTAATATTATGATTTAGAGGATTATTGGATTGTCAGACTGAATAATGTAGTAAATAGTTATATAAATAGTAAATAATTACTATGGCTCTCTAAAAAGTGTCTAAAGTGTCAGCCAAAATAATACATATTAATATAGCCTTTTAACACCTTATTCTAGAAAGGCGAAAACGAGCGAATTAAAAAAAAAAACCGCTTTGTTAGCGAGTCAGGGTTTCTTTTCCCTTGGCCCCTTAGCCTTGGCTTTCCCGACTCATAGAACTGGGCTCCTAGAACTCCGTGGAGCAGGAAAATGGGGCCACTTATAAACTCGAAAAAATTAAGTATAAGAAAAAAATAATAGAAAGGAAAACGAAAAAAAGCCACGAGTCATGCATGCCATGGAATTTAATTATTTTCGGACCGTATGCCAATCTAGGAATGGTATGACATTCTATAGAGATTGCCTGTGGGATACGGGTATAGGCCGAGAGCGGGAAGAGGGATTTTGTTTGAAAGGGCTAGGTCTTTGATGGAGCCAATGAGAGTGGGGTTTCCATCGCATTCATATTCCTGGAAAACGCTAGTCGGAAATGGTATATCATGTCGAACTTGGGTAAATTCTTCGGGATCTGAATCCTCGAATATAACATAAAATAATAAAGGAAAAAAAAAACACAATGTTCAGGTATCAAAACAAGATCGCCAATGAAAAAAGGAAACACCGTTGCCTCCGTTTAAAATGACAATATATAGAAAGAACATAATATCGCAAGGGGGAATCCATAATAAAAAAAAGGGCTCAGAAATTCTGGAAATGAACAGGAAAGAGCCAATATAGAACCACAAAGAAAAAACAGATGCCTGATTTGCAATTCCAAAAAAGAAACAGGAAAGTAGATAAGTCGTAACGGGCATTAAAACACGCATTGGATCCACAATTCTAGTAATCCGCTCTTAACCGCCTACTCCCAAAAACGTCCAGTCAGTCCCCTCCGATTGATTTAAGAGCCGGGATCCTGGGGTTTTGTACGCATAGTTTGGGTTGTAAGAAACCATCATTGGCTGCTCGGGTGGGAGTTGATGGCCTTGAAAAGATGGGTGCGGATATTGTTCTGGGATATAGTTGGCGCGTGGGTTTGTGTCGTAACGTTGCATCATTTGCAAGTATTGCTGCTGTTGCTGTTGATGCTGTTGCTGCGGATGTTGCTGTGGATGCGCATGGTGTTGCGGGTGTGGCTGTTGAGCGTGTGGCATGTTTACCGGAGAGGTTCCAGGTACATTCTGGGCCACGATCGGAGGGGCAGCTTCGTGAACCGGCACGGTACCCATCGGCACACTCTGGGGCGAGTAAAACTCATGACTTGGAGTCGCCGATTGCGGGTAATAAGGTTGCTGGGCGAGCATGTACTGCTCACTTGGGACCGAGACTGATACGGGTGTTTGGTGGTAAGAGTGCTCGGAGGTCGCATCTTCTGAGGATGGTCGGGTCAAACTCCCTGGAGGGTGGGAGCGGTGTTGATGTTTGGTGAGGGTGGTTTTGCGACAAAAACTGCAGTTTCAATAAGACAATTAGATGGTGCTTCGACCATTTTCACCCCAAAGTACTTACCTCCGCTCGCATGTTGGCTCATGGCATATGTATGGCCGCTTGCCGGTATGGATTCGGCGGTGGCGAGCCAAACTCGATGACTATAAGAAATCAGTAAATGCGCATCCTAAATTCCCCCCCCAAAAAAGTGCTTACATCTGAGAATGCCTTCTGACAGCCTTCATGGTCACAAACATGGGGCTTTTCGCCCGTGTGGGTCCTCGAATGTACGGTCAAGGCACTGCGCTGAATAAAGCTCTTATTGCAGTCCTTTACGGTGCAATGATACGGCCGCTCATTGGTATGAATACGATAATGGCGACAGAGATCGGACTTGCGATTGAAAGACTACAAATATCATGTTAGGATGAAAAAGATTCGAAAGAGCTGAAACACCCACCTTTCCACAATGCTCCCATGAGCAGTTAAAGTCGCGCCCGCTACCTGGAGCCATGGTGCAAATAACTGGGAGTGAAGGAAAAGAAAGACAAAGGGGGAAGAGGGGGAAGAACGTAAGCGCATATGCGCAGGGAAAAAAAAAAAAAAAGAAAGGTCAGGCTGAATCCCGAATCCAAAGCATAATATTAGAGGGGAATATCAAACAGATAAAGAGGGGGAGCCTCAAGTATTAAAAGTAAATGTTAATAGCTTTTTGAAGGGGGTAAAAAAAAAACGGCGCGGATGGGACCGTAGAGCATATTATTATTTATATTTTTAGTTTTATTTATTTTATAGATTTATAGATTTATTTTAATTATTTTATACTTCTTTTTTCTTTTTAGGTACCAGGTACCTCATTTTGTTATATCCATTTTTATATGTTAAATACTACACCTATCAGAGACCTTCTAAATATCACTGCCTACTTACTTTTCCCTAACATCTTTCTTTTCCCACGTACCACATCGGAAAACCGTCTAATACCTAAGGTAATTTTCTTACTAATTCAAAGGTAAGTTTACTATTTTAAAATGGAAATTGCGATAGCCAAAAAAAATAAAAAAAATAAAATAACCCCCACACCAGATTATTTATCACCCGGGCAAGAACATACTAGACTGGACCAGGCATGGAATAATACCGTATATAATACATGTGTATGTGACCCGTATCTAGAATAAACTTCTCAATCTCTTGGCCCTTTTTAATAACTTTAGATACAGAGAGGGGTATTAAATCTATAGACGGAGTACTCTGTACACACAAAGGACGTGCCTTGGGTTTCAAGGATGATATCATACATATTTTAGGAGACTCGGAAATTTGGCCATTCAAATGACTCTTGAAATAACGCAGTTTTAAGCCAAGCCACTTTAGCCGCGGCCGAACTACTCCGATCTACTTTTTTTAAGACACAATTTCTACGCTAAATAGAACGATCTCCAAGGATTATAATTTCTGTCTAGAAGTTCCCAATCTCTGCAAAGTCAAAGGAAATATGATAAGCTGGAGTAAAAAAAAGCCTCTGGAGTTAAGAAATGACTGCAAGGGATGGCTTATGACGCGGCATCTGTACCGGTGATAACTCGGATTCTATCCCGATGGATCAGGTACCCCAGCTCATCCCGCTTGTCCACCCCGAACCCCAAAGGGCTTCGGGTCCCATTTCCTTAAGGTTGGGGCTGTTCCCGTCTCTCCACTTCTGTTTAAATTGTTGATATTGTTCTCAACTTATATGTTAAGACAAATATCCATGGATGCTCTGAAGGTGTTACTTAATATCTTCACCGTACTCCGTATGGTGCATATTATAATTGCTTTTATCGTACCGGGGGTTGATCATTTGGTTTTCTTCACCTTCCTCCACACGTAGAGAAACAACTGGCCACTTGGTTTTCTATCCACATTCTGGTTCTAAAGTTCCAGTGGCAAACCATATGTCTTAAAGATTGAACAGCCTGTCGCCTCGTCACAAGATGTATCGGGTAGTCTCGGTTGGCCTAGGATGTCTCAATTGTCGATAGGCTCAAAAGGTGTCGCAAGAAGATTCGATATTCGCGCAACGTTTGCGGTGAGGATCACAGTTGAAATATACCAGAGCAGGTTAGATCTCTTAGAAAGTAAAAAAAAAAAAAAGGCAAAAAGCAAATAGAAAGCGTCTTCGGTGGTGACTGCTCCTGAACGTGGCAACCCACTCGCAGTCATCTTAACAGTGGCGATCTTTTAATCCTATAACCTTATTACGCCGGCATGACAGACGCCTTGTGGCTTTCCTTTTCTTTTACTTCCTTTTCGTGATCGACAAGCCCCATTTACATACCCTAGGTATGGACGGAGTACTCCGTAGAGCTTTGCCTAATCGTGTGGCGCAGATCTGTTGCCGCCAATTGCCTGATAGCGCAAGTAGATCTCGTTCAGATGACCAATAATGCTACGCTCATGATATATCCGAATCTTGATGATGTGCGCAGTGTACGAGGCAAAGCATGTGTGGGTTTGAGACCCACACAAATTTACCTATTAGGAGTTATGGATGCAGCCTACCTCAGCCATTGAGGTAATCGAACATGCGGAATAATTATTGGAACTAATGTTTGGAATAAAAAATATATATATTACCCGAAAAAACTGTTTAAGACGAAGATAGAAACTAAGAAAGGCTGCTAAGAAATTCTATTGTACATTGTTTAGTGTACGGGGTACAGCTTGCATAGCCCATAATTTTCTCCTGAAAGTCCAGACTTGCAGATACAATTGGGTCAACACTATGAAACTTTGAAAGGGAAATTATGCAATAAAAGATCGAAATCTTCGCCGATCAGCCCCTAAGAGATAAACTGCGAGCTCGGCCATCGCTTCCCTTAGATGCATAATCGCTCGACTTACGGAGTACAAACGTAGGTCGATCAGGTAGGTACGGCACAGTGTGCATGCTATACTGAGGCACATATACATATCTACGTATCATGTTGCGAAAGTAGGGTACAGTTGGTGTGATGCAAAAACAAAACCAAAAACCGGTGTACTTGCATGAAAAGAAATGAGGCGCCAGTCACAATATATCCAAGAACCTGGCCTTTGGGTGCTTTGTTTTCGTGGACTCATTTGTGAAGTGAATACCCCGGATACGGACGGGTTCCTTTTGGGGGCCATATCATATTCGGAAAGAAAAGACTTGTTCAGACAAATTCAGAAAAGGAAATCCAGAAGCTGTTCAGAAGCTCGAAGCTGCATGTGTATCATGCAAGGACAATGGCTTTCAAAGTTAGAGTTCAAGTGAATCAGCTTTTTCTTCCCCCCCCCCCTTTTTCCCAAGGCAATGTTTTTTTTCTCCCTCGGGTGAGATGATGCTCTAAGAAGCTCTGACTACCCCGCATTCCGTTTCATCTTGGCGATTAAAAGGTTGATATGACGCTGTTGGTAAGCTCTCTGATTTGATCTATGCAAGGTATGGCCCCCTCTTGGGCTTGGGACTAAGCCACTAATAGTGTTGGTATTTGTAGGTAATGGGTTGTATACGAGGGAAATCGTATGTACCCTGTACCCTGTACACCTGTGAAATTGAAAAGGGACTGTGTGAAAATAAGATCGGAAATATCTCACTTCCGTGGCGATCACTTATACCATGTGAAGTGCCGATAGTTATGTTGTACATAAAATACATGTAAATCCTATAAACAAATATCCCTCCACATGTCCCGGAAAAGCCACTAAATTAATCTCCGACGCGCAAATGGCGACGCACTAAAGAAGCTCGGGCTGCTTTATCCCCCACTTTAGAATCAAAGGAAGCTAAGAAGTGTGGACTCTGTTTCGGCAATCTGGCTATAATTGACTACGCGAGGTTAGAGACGGTATGAATGTGATATCATGTTTTCTCTAGGATACGACCATGGTGGTATGGTTCCGAGGAACGATAATATAATTCTCTTTCTCTTATTCCCCGCCATATTGCATTCTCTTGCTCTCGAATGTCGGTCAACAAAATTGGGGGCTTGCTCTCAGCGCTAAATACCTGACCGGCCAGGATCTTGCTAAGGGTGAACAGCCACCAATTGACCCCTTGCAGGCATTTTGACTCGAGTTTCAAATTTAGAACCGTTGGTTCTGCCAACAGCGCGAGAAAGATTGTGATCAAATCATCGAAACTTACCTTAAGCCCCTATCACAGCTGACAGTGAAGTTAATATTTTGTTACGCCTCGTTATTGGAAACCCGGGGTTCTCTTGCCCAAAAGACATTATCTCCGCCTATCCCGTAACACTAATGCATGTATACCTACAATATAAAAGGGATATCGAGAGAAATGACGTCTTGAATTTAACTCCGTCCCCCGCAAAAAAAGGAAAGAAAAAAAAAAAAAAGGAAGAAACAAAAATCCCGCATCCACCATTTTTCCGATCTCTGTGCAAGGGGGCGCCGTTGATAAAGCAACACGGGGGAACGTTGGCTCCTCTATTCTGTGCAATCACCGTCTCATGTTACTTTCAAACAAGCCCGGTGGAGCCCAGAGAAACGAGACCCCGAGGGCTGAGAGAGAGCGGCTGGTAGTCTTGGCTTTCCAAAGCTGCATCCCCTTGCTAGTCATCTGATGTTGTTGCTCATTTGAGGATATGACGTTTTCCCGTGTAGAATGGCTTCATGGATTTCTAAGGCCATTTCGGCCGTCGGGTACGCATGCACGCCTTGCTGCAACTAACGTGGTGCTATGGAGCACATTCGATAGCGTGGCACTATATCTTGGAGGGCACTTCGGTCTGAGATATAGTGGGTACACCTGAGTTAGTACACGAGAAATGGAATAGCCGGACGAAGGGCATATGTAGGTGGTTTCAAAGTTATCTGATTTGTATACCCAAGATTCAGACATATACACCTGTCTAGGTAGAATTCAGCACGCCCCACAGGTTGGCCCCGCTTCACCTGGGCAGTTCTAGGGCTCGGTCTATGTATTACATAAGCTTGACTCGCCGTCGACTTCGGGTCATCCCCGAGGTCAACATCGGGGCCGAGGAACTGTATTATATAAGCTCGGAGGCTTCCAAACTTGGAAGGTGCCATAGTTGTCACCGTTTCTATCCGAGATCTTTGAGAAACTGCGAACTAGTGAGCATACGGAAGGCTTCATATACAGGGCTTAGTGGCTTGCAAAAGCTGACGTTGCAGTTAACTCTGCATTGCATATATCTAGGCGTGAAAAGCGGCTTTATACATGGCCAAGACTACATGTCATCGTCAGTATATGTTCTTTAAGCAGGAAGCGTGTGGTTGTAGCCAACTTGAAGGGATGAACAATGTCCATACTAAAGATATTTGAAATGACATATACTTGATAAGGAGCAACGCTTGAAGAAGGATAATGACTATAAATGCATTTATTGATGTATTGTGTCTATGGGCAACGACAAGAACAGCTCTTCTTCTCGGGCTTGCGAAGCGTCACTCCTTCCGAACTTAAGGCCCACAATATTCTGACAGAGGCAACGACGCCCCAAAGTTTCTCGCAAAGGCAAA